CCAGGGAGTTGGTACCTACCCGCGCGGTCTCACATGAGGTCTTACCACCAGTAAAACTTAGACTAGATTCAAATTGAAATGGTAATTAGTTGCCAGTTAAACCATTTGCTTTAAGCGTTGACCTAAGTGTTGTATTTTGATGCATTTAGCGTGAGTCTGTTCAAAAGGAAAGCTAAATTACTCACGACTTCTATGTGAGATTAGATATAATAATATTGAGGACACGTTTATAATAACAGAAGTCAGACGACGGTACATTCAGACATTTACAATTTATTTCTTGTTTGTAAAAAAAACCCTATTAGCGTTAAAGCCCTTTTAAAAGATCCACCATATGGCAAAAATCGTCAGTGTAATTTTTGGCATACCCTGTGATTTTGACTAATTTTCCCGACACTTGTGTGTGAACATTCATTAATATTAATGGGGTAGTAAACCATCGCTTATGCCGAGCACAGACAGTCCACCTGATGTTAGGTGGTAGGACCTGTTGTGAGTCCGCACTGGTAGGTACCACCGCCCTGCCTATTTCTGCCGTGAAGCAGTAATGCGTTTCGGTTTGAAGGGTGGGGCAGCCGTTGTAACTATACTGAGACCTTACAACTTATATCTCAAAGTGGGTGGCGCATTTACGTTGTAGATGTATATGGGCTCCAGTAACCACTTAACACCAGGTGGGCTGTGAGCTCGTCCACCCATCAAAGCAATAAAAATAAAAAATAAAAACCGACCCAATGAGTTCAATTTCACTGTAAGAAGCTTCATCGACAGTAAAATTGTTTTATTAATCTCATTTGTACACGAAAATGAATATTTCCTAATCTAATAAATATAATTCTTCTTGAGGATATCCATATTTCTGGTGTGAGACTTTAATAAGAACGCGAATTTCAGTCACCAATTTGTAAATACATATTCGATGTTCCACGGTTCAAACCAAGAGTTTTATTTATTTAAATAAATATGGTTTTTTTTTAAATAATGGACATAGGTACATACGTACCTATATACTACGTATTACAATAATCAGATAAGAGTAGAAGTGATAATCACGATTATTGATGATAACATTCCTGTATAATGATACTATTGTTTTTTTTTATGAAGTGTGGATTACTACTGATGGCCCGGAGGTATTTCCAGCTTCACCAGGACAGCTGGACGAGCACGAACGAAACGTGTCAGACAAAAAGAAAAATAATAAAATATGTATCTATACTAATATTATAAAGAGGAAAGATTTGTTTGTTTGTTTGTTTCGAATAGGCTCCGAAACTACCGGACCGATTTGAAAAATTCTTTTTCCATTAGAAGCCGACATTGTCCCTGATGAACATAGGCTACTTTTTAAATTTTTTTTTTTATATTTTTTTTTTGTTTCATGTGTGTTTTAATGTTTCCGAAGCGAAGCGAGGGCGGGTCGCTAGTTTGTTATAAATATGTCGTAAAAATTTTCATCACATTTAAAAAATATTACTTTTAAGTGCCAGCCCTGTTTGAGACAATGTTGTTTGTTACGTTTATCTGAGAGCTCTCATTGTTTCGAGACGATGACGTGTTTGAACGTATCTATGTATACTGAGTTAAATACATATTGTTTTGATACATCTTACAGTCAGAATCCAGTCAGCCATCTGACTAATAGACGGAAGGTTAAATACTTCTTTCCAAATGTTTAGAAATAATTTGACAAGATAGCGCGTAAGTAATTCACGCGTTCCAATGTGATCTTTTTTCCGATCTATTCTAGTAGCCTCCAGGGGTTATTCTAGATTCGCCAAATTAATAGGTGAATTCACAGGGCCAAACCTGATGACGTTGCTATCACGAACCCTAGCAAGAGCCGTGCTTCGCAGAATCTACCACCGGATCGGAAACACGATCCACTGAGATCCGGCGAGAAACTCAGTGGGCTGTGTCTGTGGGTTAATTTACTCGCCGAGCCCTTCGTCACAAGCGACGGGTTCGACGAGAACGATGACCAGTGCTTGAGGTACCTAAAAGCACCGTTAGTGGATGGGGAGGATCCGAAATGACGTCGACTGCTTTCCATTCGGTCCGCAGGATCGAGAATGACCAATGTGGGTCGCTGCGTTCCACATTGTTAAATAGAGCGGGCAATGCAATTTACTCATCGAGGAGACGGTCTCAAAATGGGTGACATATACGTTGTGAAGTACAGACTCTGGTGACAAACCGGATAAGCTGGTTTTTCTTATAAAAAAACAAAATAGTTATGGTTTGGATTAAGTGGTTTCCGTCCATAACAACAACACCGAAAATATGTTTCTGTATTAAATAAAGTTGTCCAAGACCGGCCAATGTGGAGGAGTTTAAGTAGGAAACCGGATCATGGCACTGGATCGGGAAAAAGCCAAGAAGAAGAAGAAGAAGAAGTAAAACTGTCCCAAAAAACAAAAAGCCATCCCTAGCATAAGAAACACTCCATTGAAATCTGCAATCTCCATCAAATCTTGTAACAAACGAACTACTTATTCTAAATTCTTCGTCTATGCTATTATTACAATATTGTATTTAGAAATATATTTAAAAAAAAACGAGATAATGGCGCTTAACGTGTATCCGAGACGATTTTGTTTATCTGTTTGGACAAGTGTAAAAAAGCTACCAATCTATTTGAAATTATCGTGTTTTGATTAGACGTAAAAACCGATGGATATTTAACTTTCACCTCGCTATGACGACGGACGCCGGAGAAAGAACAATAAAAGCACAATTCATCATGACAGATGTGTTTCTTAAACAAATCTATTTCCCATTTCTAGTTTAACACAAACACATACAGATTTAACGCAGGTGGAAACTCTTTTATTGCGGAGGTGGGTGGGAGGTTCGATGGTAAGCGGTTACTGAAGCTCAAGGCCATTACAACGTGGTTGTCGCTAGCCACAATGGCATATGAAGTCAAAGGATCAGTTGTATAAAAGCTGACCTTTAAATTGGAACGCATGACTGCTTCAAGACTACTTCGCGACATATTTTTTATTTATTTATTGCTTAGATGGGTGAACAAGCTCACAGCTAACCTGGTGTTAAGTGGTTACTGGAGCCCATAGACATCTGCAACGTAAATGCGCCACCCACCTTGAGAGTCCTAAGGTCTCAGTATAGTTACAATGGCTGCCCCGCCCTTCAATCCGAAACGCATTACTGCTTCACGGCAGAAATAGGCAGGGTGATGGTACTTACGCATGCGGACTCACAAGAGGTCCTACCACCAGATAGGCAGGATGGTAGCGTCTCAAACAGCAGGCTCACAATAGGCCACCCCTAAATCCGGGCTTGCGATCGCAGTCCACTAGTATAATGCCCAAGGAAGGCAGCTGCCCATTTTTATGTTGACTAAACCTGACTAACCCGTCTCTGTCCTCAACACACACGCGTAGAAATGGTGTAATCCAATTCATCACGTCTAGTTACTTCACAAAACACTTTCCACTAACATAAGTTTGAAATATTCTACCTAAACTTGTGAAATAGGTACATCAAAAACTAAATCGCCCCTAATTCGACTCGATCCTGCAAAGTTCGAAAAGTTCTTTAACCCCAAAACTGACACGCGGGAAATTAAGTTCCAAGTCCCCGGATACATTGGGGACGCTGCCCTCGGGCAGAGAGCTGGGATATAGGAGTCCTTTCTGCGTTGATAGAGTTTTATACGCTATATAAACGGGTGAGTGAGTCGATCTATGGCATTGGTATAATTAAACCGACTTTAGATAACTAGTTGGATTACGAAGTTTGGGACTGCAAGCCTTGTCTTGACTGTACCGCTACTTATGCGTGTATATTGCGAACAAGGATGTCGATTTTCATTTTTTTTAATCCGTATTACCGCTTAACTAAGTTACATCGATTTTTTTCTTATTTTTTCTAGACCTTGTACAGCTTGGCTACTCCGGGACAACCTATCGAATTATTTTACTTAAGACAATGTAAAAATTTCAGACGCATTAAGCACCGGTAATTTCGCAATGACCCCGATCTGATGGTCCAGCACAATTCCTAATCTAGATCTTAATTTTTTATTTTTTATTACTTAGATATAGGTGGACGAGCTCATAGCCCACCTGGTGTTAAGTGGTTACTGGAGCCCATAGACATCTACGACGTAAATGCGCCACCCACCTTGAGATATAAGTTCTAAGGTCTCAAGTATAATTACAAGGGCTGCCCCGTCCTTCAAATCGAAACGCATTACTGCTTCACGGCAGAAATAGGTGGGGTGGTGGTACCTACCTGTTATAATGAGGTATTATGTGGTTGAATGAGGTTTTGTTATTTTAATTATATATTACCTCATCGTTCACAGCACTACATACCTCTTTCACTCATTTACCACATCCTTACACACTTACAATAAGTTAGTTTTTATTTCTACACTAGAAATTCTCTAGAAATCTTATATATGGCAAAACAATGTTTGCCGGGTCAGCTAGTTTTTTAATAAAATTTACGTCTTGCGAAAACTCAAAACCAAAACAACAGGTTGGCGACGTTTGTGTCTCGTTCAAATAACGCGTATTCGACAAATTCAATTTGGAAATATTTCAAATTGTGAGTTGCTGTTTGTTGTATTGTCATGGCATCATCGGTTTCCAATGTTTGTTTAGGTGCGTTCTAGTTTGAAGCGTGCAAGAGCCGTTATCCCGTTCGCTCAGTTCAACTTCTTGCTGATTATAAACATAACCAGCGCGTTTTCGATATATTAGAGAAGTAGTAAACATTTCGAGTTTTCGGATTACAGCCGATTTTTTACTGGTGGTACCTCTTGTGAGTCCGCACGGGTAGGTACCACCACCCTGCCTATTTCTGCCGTAAAGCAGGAATGCGTTTCGGTTTGAAGGATGGGGCAGCCGTTGTAACTATCCTCCAGTAACCACTTAACCGTGTTTAGGCCGTGAGTTCGTCCACCCACCTAAGCAATAAAAAAAAAACTCAGTTGTCTGAGATTGTATTGTATTGACGTGACGGTTTACCTGTATGAGAGCGCCGCGGAGCCATAGCCAGGCTGGTGCAGTCGCAGCTGTGCCGGCGGATAGGGCTGCGATGCGTAGGGCGCTGTGGGCGGAGGCCGGGGCTGCGGCGGCGCGACCACAGTCCCCGCCGGCTTGCCGCCGTACGACAGCGCGCCGCCGCTGTGCCCGTGATCAGACTGCCCGGGCCTAGAACACGTAATAATATACTGTTAGATGTTTGATTATTTTTTTAAGGGATTTTATGACCTGGTAACTAAGACCTTTATGTCATGTCTTAATTTAATGTATATTCTTATTTTTATGAAAAATTATAATATGGAGTGAAATAAAATGAAATGAAATGAGATGAGATGAGATGATGTGGGATGAAAAATGTAAAATGGTGGTCATTTACTGAGATTTTTTCAGTGAATTTTTTGGAGGATCCCGGGAAGTTACGTCCGGCGGCTTTGTTTCACAACAATATTTCACGTTAAAACTTACAATGTTATTATAATTATTTTGTGACGTCACAAATAATGATAATATTGATATAGGAACGGCCATCGCTTGTAAGCTTCGCATCGCGAGCCACGCAGGCCTACACGACAGTATAAAATTAGCATTAATTAAATTTATATTTGCTAAAACAAACTTTCCTAAAGTAATACAAAGGCACCGCAAATTCATTGTTTTCGTTAATCATTTTTTTTATTGCTCAATTAAATCCGTTTTTGTTTGCTGAATAATTTTAGGTTTTAGTGCATGTTATAAGTTCTTGTATATCCGGTAACACTAAGGACACACACTCCATAAATTTGTGTAACCGAAATACACGTCAAATATAAGATATTTTTATTTATTGCTTAGATGGGTGAACGAGCTCACAGCCCACCTAGTGTTAAGTGGTTACTGGAGCCCATAGACATCTATAACGTAAATGCGCCACCCACCTCGAGATACAAGTTCTAAGGTCTCAGTATAGTTACAACGGCTGTCCCACCCTTCAAACCGAAACGTATTACTACTTCACGGCAGAAATAAGCCGGAATAGAAATAGTGCGGACTCACAAGAGGTCCTATCACCAGTAAGTTGATTTTAAACTAACTTCATGTTTAGCTAGTGACTTGAAATTTAATAGCTTAGAAACTGATGATACTGAAAGAAAATGCGGAACCAGCAACAACTTTTTTTTTACTTGATAATTCTTTTTTTAAAATTACAAGTTTATCGTATCGGACTATGCTCAAAGTTCTAGAGAACTGCTCGGGTTACAAGCACAGCATTGAACCGGACAATCGCTAACACCTTAGTCGCGTACCGAAACACGACCATAACTCAATGTAACAGTCGACAATTTCCATAAAAACCACATTACACCGCCACATATGACGGCCTGCGAAGATTTATATTTATTACCAGAGCCTACAACAACATTATACATAAATAACTTAGTCAGTTGTACTTTAAAAAATCAAAGAAAATAATGCATAATAATGGAAGTTTTTGGTAGGAAATCAGAGATAGGTACGATAGAAATAAATGAAAGTTCCGATTGATTAATTGATTCGGAGGAGAAAAAAAAAACAACGAAAAAAGTTACCGACCGGAAATGGCGTATAGTGTTACCAATTCTATGAAATCGCGACCAGAAATACAAGAATAAATAATTCTTAATTCTCTCGATCATATGCTGCAAATGAATCACGCTACTGCTGTGACTAAGACCTGAGTCATCGCCTTAAGTTACGGATCCGTTTGCCATTAAATTTGGCATTTAAAAATGTAACAGCAACTCAGAGGATTTTATTCAAAAGCCGTACATACGTTGTATACACTATGTATTTGTATGTATGTTGTGAATAGTTCTTTAATTTGTAAATATATTATTATGAGGAAACACTAATTTCGGTTTATAACTCTTAAATTGTAAATCACGATTAGTTTTGTACGTAAACATGATTAATTTTTAGGGCTGGTAAAATAAATACTCTTAAAGAGTAAAGATCTTGTTTTTTGTGTGGGACAGAGAATTTTTTGAGGTTCGAAAGGTAGGTAGCGCTATTCTGCCTCGGTGGACTCTTGAAAGGGTAGTTCAGCCGGCATCGTAGACTACAATCGAGATCTTCCTCATGTCTCGAGATAAGAGGCACTTACGATGAAACCCTAGATCAGTGTCTCCCAAACTTATTTTGTCTACTGCCCACTTTGAGGATAAAATATTTTTTACTTATAAACCACTATAGCGAGAGCTCAGTCGGTGTTTAAGAGTCCTCCTAGATGAAATTACAAATCGTCTCCCAAGCCTCTGTACTTTAGGCCTGCAGCGCCCACGAGGGGGCGCTATCGCCCACTTTGGGAAAGGCTGCCCTAGATGGACACGTTTGCCCATTGATCTTCCATCTTATAGGTTTCACTAAAAAAATTGAAAAATATCAAACATTTTTCCAAGCAAGATTGAAGATAAACTTTTTCTTTTTAGTACAGTTTACAAAAGGTATATAAAGACTAAAAAAGGGTATTGTATAATAATTAAAGGTGGTATTTAAATATTTAAAAATATTAACGGTGAACTATCCGTCCAATAACAAAAATCACCCGTAAAAATTACCGACAGGGTACCAGTATGGTGGCAAAAAAAAATCTGAAGTACCAACTGTATACGGTTTCTAGCGAATCCAATACATATAGGAACGCATCAATTATGAAAATATAATTGTACCAATATTATTATTATTTTTTTTATTGCTTAGATGGGTTGACGAGCTCACAGCCCACCTGGTGTTAAGTGGTTACTGGAGCCCATAGACATCTACAACGTAAATGCGCCACCCACCTTGAGATATAAGTTCTAAGGTCTCAGTATAGTTACAACGGCTACCCCACCCTTCAAACCAAAACGCATTACTGCTTCACGGCAGAAACAGGCAGAGCGATGGTACCTACCCGTGCGGACTCACAAGAGGTCCTACCACCAGTGATTACGCAAATTATAATTTTGCGGGTTTGATTTTTATTACACGATGTTATTTTCCTTCACCGTGGAAGTCAATCGTGAACATTTGTTGAGTACGTATTTCATTAGAAAAATTTGTACCCGCCTGCGGGATTCGAACACCGATGCATCGCAACAACGAATGCACCGGACGTCTTATCCTTTAGGCCACGACGACTTAACGATTATATTAGTTTTTTTCTATTTAACTACTGGTAGCCTCGTGGGATTTTCTGGTTTCGCTCTAACTGGTACGCGAGTAGTTCACGGAGCTTTTAACTAGTAGGCGAGTAGTTCCCGGTGCTTAGCTAACGTAACGTTGCTATAATACTAGCCCTAGCAAAAGCTGTACTTTGCTGAATCTACCACCGGATCGGAATCGCGGCCCACTGAGAATATCCAGCGATATAGGTGATAATGTCCAAGATACTCTCAAAATAAAGCATCGAAAAAATTATCTACGCCTGATATTAAATTGAATACAATAGTTGTCGAGATAAAATTTGTAGGTCATCACTCTAATATTCGTGTCTGTGTAAAATCGATAAGGCCTCTGGGGTGGCCTCGCGAGTTCAATAAACCCTTGTGACGGTTTTTAGTGGAACTGAACTAATAATTTATGTTTGTAGGAAATGAGAATAGTCCCTTTGACGGGCAAAGAGGACTCCAACAAGGACTATTTCATTTTAAGAATATGTCACAGCGTCCAAGAATCATTAAGAAGAGAGAAGCTCATTCAAAGCCGGAACAATCATATATATGTGTTTATTATGTGTTTCAATAAAGTATACAAGGTAGCATTTTCCACATGTCTGGTAACTATACTTGAGACCTTAGAACTTATATCTCAAGTTGGGTGGCGCTTTTGCGTTTTTTTTATATATTTTTTTATTGCCCTTGTAGGCAGACGAGCATACGGCCCACCTGATGGTGAGTGGTTATCGTCGCCCATGGACTTCAGCAATGCCAGGGACAGAGCCAAGCCGCTGCCTACCGCAAACTTGCGTTATAGATGTCTATGGGCTCCAGTAACCACTTAACACCAGGTGGGCTGTGAGCGCGTCCATCCATCTAAGCAATAAAAAAAAACATATTTAAGAGCCGAAATTGAAACTAATTTATAACCTTCACTAGATACCACCAGTCGTGTACAGGACTATTTCAACTAAAGAGGATCAATTAAGTTTTGTAGGTAACATCTAAACTATAATATTAACACAAAACTAGGTTACTATCTATATATTAATACGTGAAGCAAAAACTTTGTATCGCTTTTTACGAAAATTGCGCGGACGGAGAAGTATGAAATTTTCCACACTTAAAGAGAATATAGAGAAGTGCCTAATGCTAATATATTTATTAAAATAATGCATAAAAGATACATTAAATCAATAAAGAAAACATTACACACACTACATACCATGTATTTGACGCAGAGACGCATGCATACTACTTATTGTCAAACTTTTGTTCTTGACGTCTGTGGTCAAATTGAGAATAGATTAAATATTGTTTGTCTTTATTAATATTTTCTTACAGTGTAGCCTTGGCGAAATTTGTGATTATAGAAGTATAAAATACAATCATTATAGTGTACCACCTTAATATACAATTCCAACTAATTATAATCGAATTTCGACTACTGCGGGACCTCTAGTAACATTAACATGGCTGACTTCTACGAATATTTCAAGAGAAATGACGTAAGCACAAATTCGAACGATTTTGTCAAAGAACAAACAACTTTTAAACATTTACTCTGTACTAGAGACTCGAGCCGTGTGACCTTCGCTCGCGACCGGCTGGCAACAGCGTAACGTAAAATTCTATACTCATAACTACAGCGATCGAATGAACTAAACATAGATATACGCGTGTATAGCTTTAGCACGATGACCCGCGCCACCCGCCGCCATTCCATGACGCATCACAGACCCGTGCACAGAACGTCTTTACCGCCAACATTTGCAATCAAAACCAAACTCTATCGTTATAGACTTAGAGCGTATATTGCTATGTTTAGTTGTCTAAGTTGCGGCTCGTTCGCGCGTCGTGAGCGCGGGAAAGCGTTCATTGTGTTTTTATTTTTGTTGGAGAGGCGCAGTCGGACACAAGTGCAGGGTTCCGAGAAACGTTTCTAAAACAGACATGGCAGTCGGTTGGATGCGAATCGCAGCTGTGGGCCGGTCGTAATACGCTGCACTAGCGCTC